GGGTGATACGATTAATGTTGCTATTGCTAGAAAAATCAAATTGGAGTCTTTAATTCTGTGCCTTGAAAGTGAAGAGAATGATATGTATGGTGATGATAGTGAGGATGGGTCTGAGAAGGAATCTGAGGATGATGGTGTTTCTGATACAAATGATGTTGTTGCTGAAAGTTCCAAGTCTGATGATGAAGATTAAGTTGTTTGGTCTTGGGTTCCTTATTTTGCCTACTTTTGCATAATGCATTTTTTTTTGCACTTCAAGTGCTTTTGGTTTGTAATATTCTTGGGTCTCTATACCCTTAACTCATCTTGGTTCTGACATTATGAAATATTTTGCTTTCTCTTAGCTTATATTCTAAATTTATGGCTTAAAAGGGGGAGAAGCTTGGCTTGGTAGTAAAGTAGCTTGGTTTGTGTACAGTTTAGTATGTTGTTGTGGTAGGTTTGTAGGTGGTATGAAGATGAAGTTTGATGTGAAGTTTTGTTGATGAAGGTTGCTACTGCTCTGTTTGTTCTGGCTGGATGTTGATCCTGCTGGATGGTGTTGATTGGGTTGCTTATGAGTTTTTTGTCTTACAGGTTGCTGAATGCTAAAGTGAGTTTTGGATGTTTTGTTTGTATGCTTGGGCTGATGTTTGTGTGTGAGTTTGCATTTGTTGAGGGGGAGTTTGCATTTACTCCTATTTTATTCCTTTGTTTTTCTGTTGTGTTGTGCTCTTTGTGGTTTTTAAAGCTCTTGTGATCTGATTGGCAGAGATTTTGGTAAAACTTGGTGTAATCACAAGATGTCCTACAGGATGTCGTGACATCTGTGTTTAAGGTTCTGCAGGTAGCTTTGTTTGTTGTAGCAGGACTTAGGTAATGATGTCAAGCATGATGTCTTGACTCTTATGAACAAAATATTATGCGTGAATGTGTTTGTTTGTCTATCTCTTTTGTGCAAACTTGTTGCACTGATCTGGTGTAAACCTGCGAGGATTTTGGTGGTATGCAAAGGCGTTTATGATTCACATATTGTGGATCATGTTTGATTTCAAGTGGAGTTATTTTCAGAAGATTATATTGGGATTTGAAAAGTGATTTGATTGGATCTGATTGATCAAATCAAATATGTTTCATTGATGCAAATTATGAAGATTGATCTCTTTACAATCTGCTGTTACTTTTGCCATAGCCCAAGCCCGTCCAAATATTTCTATTTAAGGATGCGCAAACCCTAGCCTTCAGATTAGAGAAGCTAGGTTTAAGTGTGTGCAATTGTATAAGGTTTAGTGCTCTAGCCTTTGTGTGTTTTAGTTTGTGAGCCATTTACTCATTATCTTAATGTGTGAATTGGACTAAGTTCTGTATTGTAATTTGTTCACTCAAATCTTGTAAGCAAGAGTGTATTGTACTTGATTGAAGCTTTTAAGCAAGATCAAGTTGTGTCTTTAAAGAATGTCTTCTAAAGTCTTAACTTTTATTGTTGTTATCATTGTTGTGATTGAGGGGGAGTGAGAGGTGTCTCTTATCTAGGAGTGTCCTAGGTAGAAATTGCAAGGGTAGAGATTAGGTGAGAAAATGGTAAACTAGAGAGAGTCTACTATATATCTTCAAACTAATTCTACTTAGTGGATTTCCTTCCTGGCTTGGTAACCCCCAGACGAAGGTGTGTTTTTACCGAACTGGGTTAACAATTGCTTGTGTCTCTTTACGTTTGTTTTTGTTTATCTTTGTTCTTATTGATGATTTAACAGATATTAGTGTCGTAAACATCGCCTTTGACATCTGATATCTGATACAAGAATTTCACCTCGACTCAGGGGCAAGCAACCATATGTGTGGTCAAGAATATTTGTTCAAAGAGATGTAAAATATTGAGGATGGTCATATATTATTTGGGGATGCATCGAAAATGAAGGTGGAATGCAAGGGTACAATTTGTTACTTACAGAAGGATGGCTCGATTGGATCAATACAAGATGTTTATTATGTACCAGATCTCAAGACCAACATCTTGAGTTTGGGGCAACTTACAGAAAAAGGATATTCGATACTTATAAAAGATCGGATACTACATTTGAAGGACAAGCTAGGGCATCTGATTGCTCGTATTGAAATGGAAAGAAATTGAATGTACAAACTGAATCTGAGAAGTGTTCGAGAAAAATGTTTGCAAGTCAATGTCGAAGGTAAGGTGTCACTATAGCATCTACGCTTTGGTCATCTACATCATGCTGGTTTGAAAAGGTTGGAGAAAAATAACATGGTGCACAGACTACCAGACATAGAGTATGAGAGCATATTTCGTGAAGAATGTGTTCTTGGCAAACAGGGAAAAACCTCATTTCAAAAGAAGGAAGAATATCAAGCTAAACATATTCTAGAACTGACTCATACTGACATATGTGGGCCAATCACTCCAGAATCATTCAGTGGCAAAAGATACTTCATTTCTTTTATCTATGATTTCTCACGAAAGACATGGGTTTACTTCTTAAAAGAAAAATCCAAATGGGACTGGAACAATTCGACATAAACTATTGTCGAAGCAGGAGAATCATCAGTCAATATACCAACTAGCGCACCAACAAACTCTAAAACTACTGATAGTGAAGATGAAGTTCGACAACCCAGAATGCGAAGTCTGCAAGATTTATATGATTCGACAAGTGAGGTGCACCTTGTATGTGTTAGAAATTTGAGTATGATAATCCTGGATAACTTCGAGGAATCATGTTCTTACACTTTCCGAACAAAGTATTTTGATCCTATTATTGCCCGGGTTCACGAAATCTTTGTGGGGATAATTCTTGAAGAACAATCTGCCCCTTGGAACCCCAACGAGGCGCTGCCCCGCACCCCGCCAGGGGCTTCGCCCCTTGGAACCCCTTTTCAATTATTCGCATTCAATTACACGTTGGCTCGACGAGCGTGCACTCTACACTACCCTAACTCGTTTCCAAACTTAACGCATAATTGAATCGGCCTATAGTAAATCACATTACTACTAAAATACATTGATGATACTAAAATCACCAACAATATGTCTCTTGGCAGATGTTGAAAACATAAGTTTTGAAGAAGTATTGCAAGACAATAAGTGGAAAACTGCCATGAACGAAGAGATCGAAGCGATTGACCGCAATGACACATGGGAGCTGGTCGAATTACCAAAAGGAAATCAACACATTGGTGTGAAGTGGGTATTCAAGAAAAAGATGAATGTTCAAGGCGAAGTGGAATAATATAAGGCACGACTTGTTGCAAAGGGATACAAGCAGAAGGCAGGAATTGACTATGACGAAATATTTGCTCTAGTTGCTAGAATGGACACAATTCGACTACTAATCTCACAAGCTGCTCAAATACAAATGAACAATATTTCAAATGGATATCAATTCTGAATTTATGAATGACGTGCTCGAAGAAGAAGTCTACGTCAAACAACCACTTGGGTATATAAAAGCTGGAGAAGAGAAGAAGGTGCTAAAATTGAAGAAAGTACTTTATGGACTGAAGCAAGCACCACGGGCATGGAATACACGTATAGACTGAAGCAAGCACCACAGGCATGGAATAAACGTATAGACACATGTTTCAAAGAGAATGGGTTCAAGCAATGTCCTTATGAGCATGCCCTATATGTAAAGAAGAATGGAGGTAACATGTTGTTTGTTGCTCTCTATGTCGATGGTCTCATCTTCCTGGGTAGTAGTGATCAAATAATAGAAGAATTTAAAATGACACGAGAATTTGAGATAACAGATTTGGGTCTGATGAGATTTTTTCTTGGACTGGAGATTAGACAAGTGGAAGCAGAAATCTTCATATCACAGGAGACGTATTTAAAGGAAATTCTGAAAAGATACAAAATGAAAGATTGTAATCCAGTTTGTAATCCAGTTTCAACACCAATAGAACCAGGTGCAAAGCTGTCGAAATTCGATGGAGGAGAACAATTCGACAGGAGTCTGGTTAGTCTTCGTTATCTCACATGTACAAGGCCAGCCATTTCTTTAAGTGTCGGAATTGCAAGTCGATTTATGAAGGAGGCAACATATTCACATTGGAAAGCATTGAAGTGAATCCTCAGGTACATCCAAGGAACGTTGTCATTTGGAATATTTTACTCAAGAACAGAAGATTACAAGTTGGTTGGTTACTCCGACAGTGATTGGTGCAGAGCGTTTGTGAGTCTGGTGGGTAGTCTTAGTCTACGTTGTCATTTGGAATGTTTTACTCAAGAACAGAAGATTACAAGTTGGTAAGAATCCAGTAAACCATGAAAATACACATAGACGTTCATTTTCATTTTATGAAACCATAGAACTGACATGTGTGACGAATAAGGATCAAGCTGCATATATATTTACAAAACCGCTACCAAAAAAAAGAGTTTGTTTTAGTTGAAAGGCCAAAAAAAAATAGTGACCTATTAATAGTATTTATTTGCTCTTAAAATAGCATAACTCTCTAGATTTATATAAAAGCTAATTGTATTTTCATTTCAACCGAATAGGGTTTCTGTTATCATTTTCTATATATTTGAAAATAAAACTTAAAAATGCAGATAATTTTTGGTTAGATATTGAAAACTGAAAATGGATCCAAGTTATAGTAGTAAATTATTTCTTTTCTTCAACTTTATTATGTATACAGTAGTTTTTATAAAGGATTACTGGAAATTAATCGGTTACATACAACTTTAACCAAAATTAAATAGCCAAAACACGTAATCTTGGCTACAAAAAATTACAATATCTTTGGTAAAAAAAACCTAAAAATGCACATTATTAACCACCATTCAAATACAAAAAACTACAGTATCTTTAGCATAAAAAAATTACAAATCCACCCACATTATTAACCAACATTAAAATATTTCTACATTATTTATCACCACCACCGATCAATCTCTTAAGCAATCACAAAACAAAACAAACAAAAAAATCACACCAAGCTATTGTACAAGTTAAGAATCAATCAAGTTAGACACTTCTCCTTAGCAATTGCACCATGACCTACCGGCGCTTCTGATAGTTTGGTGGCAAGAAGTCGGCGATGTTATACATCGCTGTTGGTATATGTCCACCACAATGATCAATCATTTCTTGCTTAAGCCTGCTGATTTCCTCTTCAGTCCTTGCCCTTGTCGCTGCTTCTTGTTTTTCCAATTGAGTTCCTAGTAATGCTATCTGCTTCAAAAGGCTTTTCACCTGAAAATACTCATCGAGTTTAACATAACATGACAGACAAATAGTTTTACATTGTCCTCCAATAAAAAAACCATTACTCCAAATAACACGCAAAACATTTACCTTTCTGTGAGGCCATCTTGCTAATCCTGCTTTACGACATGTTTTTTTGAGAACTGTTGGACACAAGTCCACTTTTTTCGCTGCTTCCTCAATAGGTAGATGAAAATAATCGCGTAAATCATTCAATGTCAATTTTCCCGCTTTTTCTCTCTGTTAAATACAATTAAATATATCAATATCAATAACTTATTGTTCAAGAAATCAAAGAGAAAGATATAATTATTACCTGTTCTGAGAGTTTCTTTTTATCAGGTGTTTCAGTAGTAGGAGTTCCATCCACACCAACTTGCTCTTGCTCCACCATTTCATCTATAAACATAAAATATCAACCATTAGAACTCAACTAAGCGAAATAATAATGTAAGAAAAGAAATTAAATAAGACAAACCTGAATTATTTTGATTATTATCAACAGGACCTTCCATGTTAAAATCTTCAATCCAATCCAATCCAGTGCAAAGAGTTTCATAATATGCAGACATAGGATCTTGTAGAATAAAGTATCCTTCTAAAATATGCTGCATGCAGTATTGCGCCAGAAAATTCTTTACTTCATCAAGGCTTCTTCTGCTAAAACTGATAAAAGAAAAAATTTGTTTATTTAAATTATTCATAATTAACATGCAAATAATAATTTGTTTTAGGAATAAGACTTAGAACATACTCAATCATTTGACTAATTGGTAGGTCTCCATTAACAGGAGTCTGATGATGAATTGCATGTGTAATCAAACCCAACCTTCCATGAATCTCAAGCTTTTCAAATTGAATACCTATTCACCATGAAAAAAATATATATCTATTAATAGAATCATACATACATAAATTAATTATGGTTTTCTTGTATATGTTTAGAGACGAACCATTAGCGTGAATGATTTCTCTGAGAACTTGACAACAACTGCAAAAATATGGAATTGGTGTGGGTGGCCATTGATCAAGTGTCATTGCATCTGTTTGGTTCACCGGAACCGGAATCTGATTCAAAGGTTGAGTTTGTTGATCCTCATGCATTTGTGACGAAGTACCCGCTTCGAAGTCATTTCGTCCAAAGGAAAAATCATTTGGATGAGATGACATTACATTGTAATCAAATGAATCATTTTGTGACATTGCGAAATCATCATTAGTTCCATGTCCTTGTTGAAGTATTCCATTATGGTTGGAAAAGTGATTATTGAAGTTAGTATCATGTGGCTGTTGAAATACTCCATGATGATTTTGGTGGGGTGTATTGTCAGTGATGGATAAATCGGCTAGTGTGGGGTTACTTGTATCGAAGAAACTTAGATCAATAGAAGTTTGATAGGGGTCGTTGAAATGATACGTGAGATCATCCATGTTTGAATTGTTGTTATTATATATGGTGGTGGAAAAAAGAAGTTATGGAATTTTGTGTAATGGCAGTGGCGGCGGTAGAAAAAGAATGTGCCGCCACTGAGAAGTGTTTGAGAGAGAATTCGTTGAATGATGAGAAACAGAAAACGGAAAAAGCTGTGAGAACAATTGTCGGGATGTGATGGAAATTATATACGAGGATGTTTGACAGTTAATTACCGTTGGAAATCTATGAAGACGTTTCAGTTGGGATTTTGAAAAAACATGACTTTTCAAATTCAATTCTAAAATTTCCATGCCAAGGCTTTGCGTAAAAATAAAACGAGGCGTTATGGGAATGACTATTGAGTAAAAGATTTCAACGGAGTAGAAAAAAGACCGCCGTGTCCCTATGGCGGGTCGGTTGCCTCACCCGAGAAGGAGAAAAACATAATGCAGCCACTTCCGTGGCTAGATCTGGTCAGATGGCGACTTACCGTGCATGCGGAGATCCGGACAGTGGTGAATTTTTTACACATTGAAATTAAATGTATCAAATTGCCACAATCTAAAAAAAAAAAAAAAATCAAAAGTGCCACAACTTTAATAAGGGTTCGTCCAATGAATGGACGACCCAATGAAAGTAGGCATGGTAAAAAAAATCCGAACCCATCGGGGCCCGCCCAGACCCGCCTCGAAATTAGCGGGGAAAACCCGATTTGAGTGGGTACGGGTGCGGGTGCGGAGAAAATCCGACTTTTAATTACGGGTGCAGATACGGGTGCGGGGAGACACTAAGACCCGCCCGCACCCGGCCCCACCCGCCCCCGAATAATGCATTTTAGTTTAATACTCTTATTTTACTTATTTTAATATTTATTTATTAATTATATTTTTAATTAAATTATTAATACCTTTATTGCAATTAAAATAATTAAATTAGTCAAATTAATATTCATTTACTAATTAAAATTTTAATTAAATAAATAATTAATTTATTAAAATAATTAATTTTTTAATTAAATTATTAATTTTTATTGCAATTAAAAAGAAATTAATTTTTTTCGGGTGGGGGCGGGGCGGGTGCGGGTGCACCTATTCTCTACTAGGGGCGGGTCTGGGCGGTAAATTTTTACCCCGATTGAGTTTGGGGACGGGGGCGAGTGTGTTACATGGAGGCGGGTGCGGGTGCGGGTATAGTAAAACCCGCCCCCGACCCGCCCCGTTGTCATCCCTAAATAAAAGGTCATTTCATGTAGTTGGGGTTCGGCCATCCATTGGCCGACCCTATACTACGTTTTTTTTTTTTTAATTTCAGAAATAAATATATATTATATATTATTATTTTATGTTTTAAACTATTTTTTATATATTAAAAATATTTAAATGATATTTTATATTACTAAATAAATAATTTTTTAATATTAGTAAATATATTTCACATTATATAATTAATTATATAAAATAATTATAATTATTGGTTAAGGGTATTTCTTTTAATTTATTATTTTATATAATTATTTAGTTAAATAATTAATTAGATAATGTGAAAAATATTTAATAATATTAAAAAATTATTTAAAATAATTAAATTATTTATTTATTCATATAAAATATCATTTAAATAATTTTAATATATAAAAAACAATTTAAAATATAAAATAATAATATATAATATATATTTATTTCTGAAATTAAAAAAAAACAAAAAAAAACCACGTAGTATAGGGTCGGCCAATGGATGGCCGAACCCCAACTACATGAAATGGCCCTTCATTGGGTCGTCCATCCATTGGACGAACCCTTACTAAAGTTGTGGCACTTTTGGTATTTTTTTCCAGATTGTGGCAATTTGGTACATTTAATTTCAATAGATGGCATATATGTAAAAAATTCGACAGTGGTGAGGGATTCATAAGGATGTATGAGTGTATGATTGGTAAATAAAAATTGGAGGAGAGTTCTAGAGTCATAAGTATTCTTCGGTCTGTTACTTGTAAAGCTATTATTGGATTATTGTGTGTGAAGAAGTTAAAAATAAAAGAAGGTGAGAAGAAGAGGAGGAGTTGCTGAGTTGAAAAAAAGAGAGAAATAGTAGTGTATTGTGTATGCTATTAAGTGTTAATATACATGAATAAAAAATAATAATAGCAATATAAGAGCATCTTTAATGGGAGCAACTAAATTGGATGAACTAAGTTATTTTACGTGGGTCCAAATTGACATGAAGGATTTAAGCAATCCAAAATTGAATTAAGAAGTTTTTACTTCAATGGTGATTGTTTATAAGGAATTCAAACTTGGTATTAAATGGTTAATAAAAATCTATTATTTATGTTAAATAATTAATAAAAATTTATTATTTATGTTAAATAATGAGTTAGAGTACGTTTCTTGTGTAGAGCACGTAAACTAGTTTTAGAGCATCCCATATGCCATATCAGCTCTACTATAATGCAAATTCTTTATTACTAACGTAAGCTATAAAAAATTTTGGTTTAATAACTATGCGTTAAAGTTGCTCTAAGGAAGCTACATTACTATAAAAACAAACATGGCTCACTTCAAAGTTTCACTTGCCTAAAGACAAAGAATAGGTAAACACTCGTCAAGAGATTGCGCACTGAAACTTGACTCTACGTTTATTGTAGTAGTTGGAGTTAATTCAATGGTCTCCTATATTCCACGTCATGTTTATATGGAAGGTTTTAATAGTCACTCATATATAAACACGATCATACGTTAGAAGAAGGTAAGATTCATTGACTCTTACAAATTACGCATCTATGACTCCATTAACTTTGACATATGAGTTCTTACCTTGCAAGTACGCCCTATTTCTCCATATGGGATAGAGTAGAGAACTCTAGTAGTCCAGCTTACATGAAAGTGATTACTCGCCTTGCCTCCTCCCTTCAATCCTAAAACAAACTAGATACAGTCGTTACAATCCAAGATGAGTGAAGAGCCTGCTACTTCACTAGTTTTTTCAAGGTGGCATGCAGTCGGGACCCTACTGTTGTAGAGATTAGGAACCACCTTACCTTTTAGAATAACTATCCCATTTCTAACTGATGTTATCTGTTACGTGACAACCAGGAAGAAATGGTAAGATGGTGTGCAGATTTGGTGTCATCGTCAGATATTAGGCTCTACTACTAGGTGGATCCCGAATTAGTGGGCACAAATTCTATTTTTAATTGTGCTGAAAAGGTGGGAGCAAGCTCAGGTGGAGAAAAGTCTTTCTTCTGATTGGTTTGTTTCACATATTGATGACAACAAAAGGATTTGCAGTTGTTTTCATAGGTGCTCTATCCCCTTTTACAAGTGTCTCTTCATTTAGATGAAACTCGAGTTTCGCTGGGTTTTAAGAGGAGTTGATGAACCATAGGTATATTGCTCATTCTCAGCTTCACCTTTTCACATTAGGCATTGTCAAGTGTTGCAGTGAGAATCAGATATCAAACTATTAATTAACTTGAATCGCAAATCTTTAAATATTTACCATCGAGCTTTGATTTATCCAAAGGAAAGGGTAAAGATTGAAGAAAACCCTAAGTGTGCTACATAACAACGAAGCTAAGAGATCAGAGGTTCGGGGGTTAGTTATACTAAGGAAAGGTATTAGTACCCTAAGTATTTGTAGTATTTTACAGGAGCCTCTTGTTTGGTAGTTGTGTTTGTGTTAATGTTTGTTTACTAATGGTTATGTGCTAGGGTAAAGACCTATGGGTTTGAACGTTAAGTATGCTCGCCAAGACGTTGCATTTCGTGCCTACGTATCCTAACAAGGACAGAATCAGAGCAACCGTAGTGCTCCTAACTGAGGAGAGAAATCTTGACTGTGGTCAAGGTTCAAGGGGAATAAGTATCCATAACAATGATACTTATATAGAGTTAACAAACTCTCTAAGTCTATGTTGAAAGACTAACTGGAGTTTGACTTTAACAAAAGTCAAAAGTGAAAAATTGAGTACCCATAACAATGGTACATACACAGAGTTAACAAACTCTAGCCCTAAGTTCTAAGTTGTAAGATTCCTAACCAGGTGTGCTAAAGATATTGTCTTGACAAAGTTAAAGGGATAAGGTTCTTTAAAAGTCCTAATGACTCTAACAAGGTCAAAGGGAGATTAAAATAAATGAGATATATATGACATTGAGTCAATAGACAGGCTTTCCTTTGGAATTAGGAACACAAGGCAACTCTTTAAGGATGAGAGCTAACAAGCTACATCACTTGAGGGGAAACTTAACAAAGCTTAAGCACGTATACACATCCATTCAAACATGATGAAGATATAAAATCATGGTAACAACCAAGAAAGTGAAGCAAGCATGTGACAACATCAAGCAAAGATAATAACAAGGTTACAACCAAGTATTCATCCAAAGAAGAATCAAACCAAGTGGTAAATATAGATGTCACAACATCTAAATGGGTATGAAATAAAGTTCTTACAAGACCAAACATCATAGATGACAAGTGAATCATGCATAAGTCAAAACATTACTTATCATGGCAAAGTTCAAAGATCAACATGCATAAGTCATAACAATATTTAAGCATGCATACAAGTAGAGAATCTTGTATAAGTCAAAACATTACTTATAACAAAGTTCAAAGTTCAAGATTAACATGCATAAATCATAACAATATTTAAGCATGTGCACAAATCAAGAGAATCATGTATAAGTCAAAATATTACTTATAACAAAGTTCAAAGTTCAAGATTAACATGCATAAATCATAACAATATTTAAACATGTATGCAAATCAAGAGAATCATGTGTAAGTCAAAATATTACTTATAACAAAGTTCAAAGTCAAGATTAACATGCATAAATAATAACAATATTTAAGCATGTATACAAATCAAGAGAGTCGTGTATAAGTCAAAACATTAATTATAACAAAGTTCAAAGTTCAAGATTAACATGCATAAATCATAATAATATTTAAGCAAGGATACAAATAGAGGTAACAACCAAAATATATTTGAACAAGAGTGTGACATGTGTGA